GAACTTCTTTCTTACCAATGGAATACGAAGGGAATAAGGATGATTTGGCCAAATATACGTGATGCGATAGGAGTGAGCTGTAAATAGTAGCACTTAGCTCTAAGTCGAGAAGTTCAGCTTGTTGGAAAAATCAACAAAACCCTGTGTCCAGCTTCTGAACATAGGTCCCTATAACAAAATATTTACTAAACATCCATTCCTTTATTCGATAATTAATTGTCAACTCGATAATCTTTCCAGTGTTGGTATAATATGCGCCTTGCCAGGACTAGATACGGTTTTTAATTCATCAGTGTCCTTCCCCTAGATCGGTTACCAACTACAGCCATAGAAAGCAGTCTTCCCTGATATTTACTCCGTAAATAGGAGGAGTAGGGTTGGATACATACATTTCCCAAAGTGATTTGTGTGAAAGTGAATGCAACAAACGCAGCCGGAATTCGAATTTGGTTCCTCGACTTCGTTATCGGAGCCGTTAGGCATTACACTATCCACACATCCAATCCAAGCAGAGCTGTGTATCACAAGGCCCCTTTTCATAGGGATCTCAGTGAGGATCGAAGTCACTTCCCAGCCATGAAAAGCAACTGAAATGATGATGATAATGATAAAATAATTTAACTGCAAGTGACAGGCAAGAAAAAGCGGTAGGTAACGGGAACTTTACATGGCAGCAAAGAAACTGAGAGGTAAGTTTCAACTGTCTGACTAGTTGGTAAAAGACATAAATGGCAACCCACTGTCAACAACGGAGAAACACCTGAATACTTAGAGAATTACTGAACCGATCGACCCACATAGCTCCACCGGACTTTTCAACAGCAGCAACCTTGCTGCATCGAGCCCTCAAAGGCAGAGTTAAAAGCTGTAATAATGTCCCTGAAGAATAGAATGGTGACAGGTTCAGACGAAACATCAGCTGAAGCTATAAAAGCTGACATTGATGTGAAATGGAATAAGAAAGGAATGGCAATGATTCGACCATGTATACGTGGTATGACATGTCCTAGCTGTGATGTTTGAATTGTTAGAAATAAGGAACGTCGCTCGTCTAAATATTTGCTATGGAAACATCAGTAAAATAGCGAGTGGCTAGTGACGTTGCATCTGTGGAAAGTAAGCTGTAATGTGGAAAACTGAGTCAAGATAAAAAGCAAAAACAAAAAAAACATATGAAGATTTTTCCGAGGCTAGAAAGTGAGCATTAATACGAGACAAGTATAGTATGAATAGTTATTTTGAGTTTCATCTCTTGTAAAGGAGGAGTCAGGAACATTCTGAAGAGGTATAAAGAACCAGCCATTTCCCGGCATCTTTGGCAATGGATCGTATATACGAGTTCCACTTGTATATACGATCCACTGGACAGCTTCACTTCAGACAGCCGCGAGGAGCTCTTCTAAATATGGATGGAGCGACACAACAAGAGTACTTTCAAGGCGATTTGAGTTTTATATTGTTTTCAAATAAATGGCTAAATATGGAGTCTCTCTATATGTTTCTTTCCGCTTTGAACACGAGACTTGGTGTGAATCATTTTTGTGTAGACGTTGTAGGCTCTCCAAATAGGCATCTTAATCAACAAGCGTCTTGGCCACTTGTAGTAACGCCTACATCTCTGGAGACATGTCATCTGATCATTTTCTTTCATGCTCTCCATGCAGGCATTGTATGATTTAAATGCTTTCGAACAATTTACTGGTACCCATCTGCCGTCCTATGAATCATATCTCAGAAATTCCTACATTGGATCAGTAATGTACATAAAAGTCACAATGTAGATTGGATTTTTATCTTGCCAAGCGATAACAACTATATCATTTCTATTATAAAACATGCTACATAATCCATTTGTGATTTCATTGTTTTGTTTTCTCTTTATTATTGTCCTTGGAAAGTTTCTGTGATTCGTTATCGCAATACCACACAGTCTAATATGGATTTCAAGAGTGTACTGAGTTAAATACATTGTGGCAAAAATGCAATCGATGCATGATGAACGATCTTATTCAGAAACCTCTTCTATAAAGCGAATCAACGTTATACGTGTCTATTGGTTTGCTTTTCATGTATTGTTTACGGAAAAGTTCATACATAGAACACAAAAAGTGGTGATATGTTGAAAACCTCTTTATAATTTTTTTTAGTCTTCTTCAAATTGCGTACTTAGTGGTTCACGTTTACCAAACAGAACCGGTGACAGATAAAAGGAATGCCAAACACTATCGTTTGATATTTCTTGATGGAGACTTGAATATTCCTAGTTGAGGCAGGTAAAAGGATCCAGGCGTTGGAGAATATATGCTAGGGAAAGCTGATCTCCGAATGGGTACACACATATACGTATCAGGATCAAAGGTCTTGCGGGCTGGCATGAATCTCTCCTTCCCCACTATTAAGCATCGGACGATGTCATGGTTTGGCCACGTCATACGGCATAACAACCTCTGCAAGACACTACTGAAGGTGGATGCAAGCGGGGATTGAAGCAGTTAAAAGATTAGTGATGATGATTCCTTGAAATATCGGTTGTTTATATTTGAATTTTTCAAAGATTTATTTGGTTCTGGGATCAGTAAATAGAGGTCATTTATATTACAGTCTTCAAGACTTTATTGGTTTTAAGATAGGTAAACATGGGTTGTTTATGATTGAGTCTGAAAGCATTTGCTTGCTTAGGGGATCAGTAAATATTGTTTTTTTTTGAATATTTGAGCATGTAAACATTTATCTGTCTTAGAGATAAATTTAAATATTGGTCGTTTATATTTTGGTCTATAAACATTTACAGCGGATGCAGTTGTTGCATTCCTGGCCTCGTCAAGAAGGCAACCCAGGGAAGATTGAACATTACTGGTAAAGAAGACTAACTCATTAAACATAACTCCATGCCTTGTGTCCATAAGTAGCAAGCATAGATCACTATGTGCTTCATATCTGTGGCCGTTTAGGAACACCCAGCGAGGAGCACCTAGTGAAGATCGAATTACTTACAGTAGTAACGATCTGAGAGACTAGCCCGCTAAAAATTACCCCACGCTATGATTATTTACCTACTTACACGATAGTGGGTTTGAGGGATCGTGCCAGAAGTTTTCCAATACTAATGATCAATCAGACTAGCGCATTAAAAATGACCTCATATCAAAGCACAAGACCAGGAAGGTTTTTCTTCTTTGTTGTGGCCGGCCATTTGCATGGAGACGTGATGAAAGTCGATATTTTGATCTGGAGATCTAACAACGATATTTTGGGATTAGTTTTCGAATTTTTTTCAGCCGCTAGTTCTTCAAATCTTCCTCAAGTGCTTTCAGATTTAGGCGGCAACCAAATTAGGAGAAGGCCAACACTGAATTAAAAATCTTGGAGAATTTAACAGGGAAATACTATCCTATTTCTTGGCAATTGTGATTTAGTAAAAAAGGAATATATGAATAGCCATATTCTGATTGGATATTGCATTTACAAAATCGAATAGGCTATTTTACCGGTCTTGGTAATATATAATACATTTGACAATATACATTTTTATTTTGGCTTTAACAAGAAAAATACATATACGAATACCTGTATATGAAGCTATTAATGTCATAGACAAGAATTTTATCTGTTTTATATTTATCTATTTTTAAGGCAGATGCTATTTTGTCGGTCCTGGTAAAATAAACATGCTTTTAAACTTATTTTTCCGGTCTTGGTAAAATAGACCACCTGGCGATTTTGCCGATTGTTCAAGTCCTGCAAACAAACACAGCTCACAGAACAAATGTGTTAATGATGTCAAGTCTTCATAAACATAATGGTGAAAATAAATAAAGTTCTGTGTTAAATATGTGTTGTTATTTTAACATTACCTACCATCATAATAATAACAATATTTACCGGCAAAATGGCGTAGTTGTCTAGACCGGTAAAATGGCGTAGTTGTCGAGACCGGTAAAATAAGCTTAAAAGTATGTTTGTCTATTTTACCAGGATCGACAAAATAGCATCATCCTTAAAAATAGATAAATATAAAACAGATAAAATTCTTGTCTATGACATTAATAGGTTCATATACTAGTAAACGTATGACATATTTTTCATTAAAGCCAAAATAAAAATTTATATTGTCAAATGTATTATATAGTCAAATGTATTATATAGTCAAATGTATTATATAGTTATTTATTAAACTTAGAGGGATTCAAAGGCAATATGTGAAGATCAACTTGTCAGATCTTTAAACAATTTGTTCGCGTAGTGACAGGCCGCAATGTCGACACGACCCAGCTTTCCATCGCAGGAACTCTATTCTCTAGATCGATAAATATTTCACCAGAAAACGAACATATAACCAATGAATTAGAGTCGGTCGACAAGATATCTTATAAGAAGCTTTTTGTTTGTCCAGATGTGGCCGACGAGATATCTCGCCAGAAATTTCTTAATCCAGAAGCGACGGATGAGATATCTCGTAAGAAATGTCTTTATCCAGAAGCGACCGACGAGATATCTCGCAAGAAAGTTCTTTATTCAGAAGTGGCTACACAGTTAAAAATAAAAAAAAAGAATCTGATGAGCGCTATGATTGGCTTCACCCTGAAGGGGGAATACTCTTTAAAATTAATGTTCCAGAACATGGCCTACTCGAAGAAAAGCGTTGGTAAATGTCAACAGTCTAGCTTTAAGTCATGAGTTCAGTTCCTGCATTAAGTACTGTCTCTTCACTTGTTTGAAAATAAGAGCGGCGTTATATTCTCTAGGATAGACACTGAACATGATCGGTTAGGAAAGATAACGGAGTAACCCGTCGAATTAAATGTAGGATGGTGTTCAAAGGTCTTAGAGAATTTAGGAATGAGACAGGCTGATTTATTGATACAAGTCCTATTAATTAAGGGGGACAAGCTGGAGTCATAGATCTTGCAACGGTATTTGCGCGTAAGTGAATATAAAGAGCTCTCCGATTTCTAATTCCGAGCAGTTATCAATTACACCATCTGTATATGCAAGCTTAGAGCACCTGGTATTCCTAAGAAGTCACCATCTAGGTATTAACCTGGCTCGACGTTGTTTAACTTCGTTGATCCTAAGAGAATCGGTGTTTCAACGTGATATGGCCGTAAGCCAAAACGTTCCTGGAAGAATCACTGTCAAACATATATCTCGATGGATGAGATAACACTTGAACAATCAGATAAATATTCCATAACTCGTGGTCCTCAAATAAGCCAGGTACATACAAAAAGTGTGACATTAAAATAGTTAACTACGAAGCGCATGCGTACAGTTTTGACAACAAAGCGCCATCAAGCCAATAATTTAAAATTATTTCCCAACTTGGTAAATTTCAGTAAAATTGTCCCGGCTTATTAATTTCTGAAGTAATTTATTTACGATTATTGTATTTTGCGATAAAGCTGGAATTATTTTTGTTATATTCCGTGCTAATAGGGATATATACTTGAAAAACAAGGTGGATAAAATAAGTAAATGTTTATTGTATAAAACCAGTACAATAAGAATAAAGGTAACAGTTATGCACAAGGTAGTCGCAAGTCAATCTAGGAGTGAGTGCTACTATTGGAGGGTTGATAGTTCTCGCGTAAGTCTGAGTCAACAGATCCCAGCAATTTAGTATTTACCTGCCTCCTCACAATGAAGGATGTGGCACAAAGTCGAGTTTAATGTGGGACAATCAGAGCCCGTAGGCTCGACCTAAAATTCCCCGTTACCCCGCATAAACGGGTTCGGGTCTGTCTACTTCCCCTGACGAAAACCTGCCCTTAGGCATAGCCTCGCCCAGCTTTATGTCAACTGCTCAAAAGCAGAGAGTTCGACAGCAGACAAGATCTGAATAACAGATCGCAGCAAGTCTGTAGTCCGTTGACTTACAAATACTTATAGGTAGTTACTACCTGTAGCGTTGTCACTCATGGGGGTAACAGGTTATTTCATTGCATCAATTTTTAAAGCCAAACAACCGCCTCTATTCATTTTTTAATGAAATCTTCATAAGATATTATTTGGAAATTAAAATTAATCGCATTTCTCCAAAGATATGTCTCCAGAAAAATTAAATCAGTTGAAATTTTATTCAAAACTAATGCATATGAAAATGCTCTGCACTGAAACATAAATGCAATGAAAACAAAATATTGTTTCTGTCTATGTTTTTGAGATGAGGCTTTGTAATTATTTACACTATTTGCATTGTTCGGACGGTGGCCCTCATATTTGTTGTCATATTCACGACGTTCCGGCCGTTATAACCCTGGGTAATTGCCAAAGGAGAGAAGATAATACTGTTTCAGTAACTTGTTTAGCTGAGTATCGAATACTATTATCACAACTGACTCTGTCGAGTTGTGTATTCTACCTTGCCAGACCCCATATCACAACAGCCACTGAAGACACGTTATTAACGTAAAGTATTCTTTTCCGATGATGGACCTGGTGACATTTAAGAATGTTGCAATCTATGTGGTTGGTGGTTAAAGCAATGAGAATGAACATGCCTTTTCATTTCGAAGCTTCTATGGTGGGGTTGAAAAAAGAGACAAGATTTTTAGTTAAAGCTGATAAATTATGACTCTAATTAACATTGAATCATATCAAAAAGTTAAAACCATATGTACACTATCGTCAGAAGTGACAGTAGCTGAAGTTAGGTTCAAGATAGGCGCGTTTACGTGTCGTACCATTGACTGACTACATTTGTCGACACCGTTATTATTTAATAAGATGTTTTCCGGAGAATTCAAGTAAAATAATAATCGGTAAAAGGTGATAAGACATTTAGAATATCAATTAATAATTTCAGTAAATTTCTTAATATCTTTTTAACTGCAAAATTTACAATACATTTTAATAAAAAAATAAACAAAGATTCCTTTAAAAACAACATTTTTACATTATTTACATTGTTCGGACTGATTTCTTCATCAGTTCATTCATGGTAGGAAGGAGGGTAACGGGCTCTTACAATAAAAGTGGTCAAAAGGAAAAACAGATCTTGCTGGTCAGAAACTGTTAGGAAACTCGAGTTCATCCAGTAAGTGCAGGATACCATCGACAAGAACCCCAGAAAATCAATATGGACGATTGCCAATCAGCTCCATGTGTCGGAGTCAACAACCAGATATAAATCCTATATTATGAGGAAAGGGCAGATCATGTCCAATAGATCCCGGAAGAAAAGTATGATTTGATAAACACTCTTGCTAAAGATAGTCGAGCACCTCGAGAAGATCAACATGCTCTGGCTTTTCTGAGATGGGAAGAACGTCGTATAATATTAAAAAAAAAATCAACAGAAGGAATATCTCCCAACTTTTTTCCCAAAAGGCCATAGGGTCAATGAAACCGCGTACATCAAGACACTGGACACTTTTGTCAAGTCCTGGATTGATTGAGGAAGCATTTCAGGAAGCCGTACGTATGTCACCGAGGCTCCTCTCCCTCGTACTCAGTCGCTGAGACAGACGAATGACTGGTTGAATATTTTCACGATCGTCAACTTTAACATTTCACCGCCTAGCTCGACCAGTTTAAACACTATATCTGGAGCTTCGTTAAGAGGGAGACCAAAGAACATACCCTTGGCACACGCTGAAGCCTGCTAACGAGGACAACATGGTCAACAGGAACAATGAACACCTGATCAACGCTCAGAGAAGCTGACTCGAAGCTGTAATTGAAGCTGATGGTGATTTCCTGAGTGTAGCTTAGATGTGGCACAAGGCCGAAAGTATGTGAAACTCAATGCGGATCGAACTCATTAATCAGTTGTAATTGTCCTAACGCGATAATCTTACTAACCACTACACCATGTCGAGGTGGCCAATCGAAATTGATGGTAGTTATATTGAATAAACTTATGTTTTGTTTATGCAAGAACATGTGTACTAAATTTTTGTTAAAATGTATTGTTTTCTCAGGTAATATGATTGCGTCAAATTAAAATTTGTTCTCAAATACCAGACACGCAATGTATATTGACGATTGAAACGATATGCAATAGATTGGGATATGACCTTATTATCATACATTCAATCTATTTATTTCAAAGTATTTGATTAATTATATAAGGTATTTCACAGTATTAGTTGCTTAATATGATTTGTTATTTTAGGGGCCGTTTATGTTACCATGAAATTAATTTGTCATATTTAACAGTTGATATATCCACCGATATATTCAGTAATAGTAACAGCACGTCGTCTAAGACAGAATACGATGAGGGATGTAGGTAGCTGTGAGAGAGAAAGATAGAGAGATAAATATATAGAGAGGACAAGAGAGAACGGGGTAGAGATAGTGAGAGAACGAAATAAAGACAACAAGCGAGAGAGAGAGAGGGAGAGAGAGGGGGGACGAAAGAGTGAAAAAAATGGGAGATGAGGTAGAACAAGAGAGAGAGAGAACGAAAAAAGAGAAAGGGAGCGAGAGAGAGGGAGAACGAGAAAAAGTGAACGATATATATATATATATATATATATATATATATATATATATAGAGAGAGAGAGAGAGAGAGAGAGGGAGAGAGAGGGACAGACAGACAGAGATAGCTGTTGATATAGCGAACACTGAATTTTTAATTGCTCCGATGAGAAAAACGGAGTCAATAGGACGTACTTTTTCTATTAATAGAAACATTGGGTACCTTCTCTTCAACACAACGAACTGTTTCTTCTGTCAAAATCTCCATGACATAAGAGGACCCTTTTTGAGGGTGTAGGTTTCTCTTTTCAATATGCCGTGTCCTATTCAGAACGTGGGCGCTCATAATTCTCCACAAGCCTTGTAGCAACGTTTGTCCTTTTGCAAAGCTTGCCATTTCCCTCCCACCATCCATTCACATAAACTAATCCGGGCATTGGCCCGCTGCCTTCCCATGTCCATTTTTCAAATTCTCCAGACTCTCCTTGCAAAATGTGTCCAAGCAATTTCCCCTATTCTTTTTAATTCTCAGTATAAATGTCTTTTGTTTCCATTCTTCTTAATAGTACTTCAGTATCTATCTATATTTCTGACATGAGGTATTATATACACTATTTATTATTATTGGGACTATTGTCTTCAAATTTGTTGCCATATTTATCACAACGTTTCGGCCGATGTACGCTCCGGCCTTCTTCAGGTGGTTGGAATGTCGAACTGGTAAAAAATGGTTGCTTAAGTTTATAAGTCCCAGAAATTCATAAACAGTTGTCCTTAAGGACATGTCACAGTAGATAAAGGCGTTTTTTAGATCCAGTAACAGGACCCAAAGAGTTGTGAGTTCAATACCTGGTTAAGGCAGTGGAGAACTTGGAGAGGTGAATTAACAGGAGATAACTGATAACTGACATCCAGTAGACATGGCAAGTGGAACTAGAACAGTCTACCCCAGCGATCGAAATAAAGCGTTCAGTTCGACATTCCAGTCACCTGAAGACGGCCGGAGCGTACATCGGCCGAAACGTTGTGACAAATATAGCAACAAAGATGAGAAGTATAGTCCAAATAATGTTAATAGTTCTTGCCCACGCGCCCCGTTTTGAGTATACTCAGCATTATTCAGTAGAACTACATTTTTGTTGGTTTCAATTTTCTCTTCATATGTGAGGAAATTATTCAGCATTGACTGACATGAAAGAGGATGGATATTATATGACAGTTCAACAGAAAAACAAAATCATTACAAAAAAAAGAAAAGAACTTCTAACAATTTTTTCTGTTTCTTAATACTTAATGGGTAAACATCTTTCGTTCTTCCCATGTGCGTTGGGCGTATCAGACAACGGAAGGAAAGATTTCTTCCCACTTTTCCTCTTCCTGAACAGTCGATAGTTGCAATTATTTATCTGCATCTCTTAATTTTAACCGAAAGGTTAGCTTGCAAAACTTCATATTACTGACTGTTTATCAGTAACTCCACTCCCATCCGAACATTTTACAGGTAAAATTTGCCGTATCTCCTGTATACTGAATTATTCACTTCATGCAATGATTTAATGGCTATAAGTGTTGGTTAAGTGCATGCTGTTTATCAGATGGCTGTAAGTTCAATCCCAAGCCCAAGCAGTGAAATCCATATATTTTGGCAGAGTGGAACCAACAGAAATGGCATCGCAAATGGCG